GCGGCCTGTGTGAGGTTTGGCGCTGGTCGTTTGGCCGCTCTGCCTCGTGTAGCCTGGTGGCACCTTGAGCCATCTTCCTGGGATGAGATGGGATCGGCAGCACAACTGAGGCATTTAAAAACCCCAAACAGGAGGGTGAGCTGTGTAATTTATCAGTAGGTTTCTAATTGTGAACTGTAAAATAAAGAATAAAAAGAGAGGCACACTGTGGTTCTTCCGTTGTGTGTATTGTAGTTTTTGTGTTAAAACATAACATGCTTTTTACTGTTCACAGCTAAACCTTTCTTTTGTGAAGAGTTCAAACAGAAACGCGTGGTTTTGGTTCTTCATGAGAAAAACCGTAATTGCTTTCTAGAGCAGAATAGCATCTAGTTGTCTCACGGATGACCTGTGGAGGTTGGGCTCGCCCGTCCTTGTTCAAATGAAGCCGCACTCCACAGGGGTTCGCTGAAATCCCCAGGTAGGCTGCTGGGCACGGCTGGGTTTGACTAAACTATGCAAGGGATGAGCCGCTGTTGCTACTCGGACTTGGATATTGAACTCTTCCTGTCTCTCGTGCTTCCCTCGAAGCAAGACAGATTATCGTCATCGTTAACTGAAGGCGTTTTTCTTTCCCAGTCCCCTTTCAGCTTGCCCAAGCGCAGAGGCACATTCCTGAGCTCAGGTTTGCTGTCGTTGAAATACAAGGTTTTTGCAAATAAGTGATGAATAGCAATGCCATTGCTGGATTTGAGGCAGATACTTTGGATACCTTGTAAATAGGTAGAGAGTATTTGTAGAATTAAAACTGTATTTTTCTTTTCCTATTCTTGTCTTTTTTTTTGTCTTATATCTCATCAGTTATGTTAACATGTTTGCTTGGAGGTACAGCAGTTTTATCTGGCAGATTATGTGATCTCAGGGGACTAGTCTCGGGTCTCAATTTTTTGGGGGGGAGGAACCACGAGCACAGTTGGCTCTGGTAAGCAGCAGGGAAAACATGATTTTTCTTGAGATCTCTGAACCTGCAAAAACAATTTCATTGCATTTTTGAGGCCTGATGTTAGTCTGAAGCATGGACAAGTTACAATATAGAAAAGGACTGAAACACTTTCGGGTCTGTCTGCAAAATCCTTTTAAATATTGTCGTGGTTTGTCCCCCATGGCCCACGCAGGCGTGTTTGCCTGAGGGGTAAACCCCTGGAAGCCCTAACCCTATTGCTGTGAATGACCTGGTTCCCTGTTTGCCTGCCCCTTTGTCTACCCATTTATGAAATTAAAAGACGGATATGAAATACCACGTAATGACAAGAGCAGCCTTTTGGTGTAAAGTTACAGGTTTGGAGCGAGTCGGGCCCCGTGGCAGCCCAGGGCTCGCCCGACGCTCTCGTGTTTAGAGAAGTACGCTGCAATGGCCGTGCCCGGGCCGTGAACAGGCCCGGACGTCGCCCGCAGAACGTCCCCTTCCAGCCCCTTAGCTGCTGTTCGGACGATCTCCGTTGTCCGTGGGGTTTTACAGCCTGCCTGAGCACACAGGGCCTTTGGGAAGGGGGTCGGAGGGAAATCCCCCCTCCCTGGGGTGACTGCAGTTCAGACGCTCATTTTTTAATATTAAAAAGGGCCAGGACTCTCTAAAGCGCCGGCGCTTTTGTTGCTGGACCTGGCTGGCGCCGGTTTTTTGGGCTGGGGTCTGTGGGCTGCAGACCCTCGCCCTAGTCTTCGTGAGATACCCTAATGGAGCGGTTAAAAGCTGGTTTGTCGTTAATTAAGGCCCTGTCAGTGG